GAGATATTTTTTTGCATTGGTGTCATCACACTTCCATTGAATCAACAAGGTTAAATTTATCTGGTTCTGTGTAAAAAAAACACCAACTTTTACCGAATCAGGCGTCAAAGACAAGAAGCTGTTCTGTGTTCATGCAGATAATCATGTCAGCCCAGCACGGCGGTGCAAACCTTCACGATCTGATTGCATGTTTTGATAAAGAAACGCATGTGATTATCACTCCAGTCCATCTCTGGAAAACATGGAGGAAAAAATCCTATTCACCCACAGCTTCCAAACTTTTTATTTCTCACTCTACACAACAGAAATTAAGAATAATGCAGGTTAATGATTTAAGTATTTCTTAGAAGCCTTTGGAAGACATCCCAGGATCAACTTAAACAGTCAGTCATCATGTTTATCTATCTACAATAAGTGATGAAAATTTCTGCTTTAACTGGTGCATTTAAATTATTCAGATGCATTTAATTAACTTTATAAACCTTTGATGTATGCAGCTGTAGTTCCTATGACTCCCAGTTTATTTGCTCTGGGTGGTGTGTTGTTATTGCCATGGTAACCTGACCCTGAGATGATTAACATCCAGGCGGCGTTCTGTTGCCCACATCTTACAGCTAGATTCTGGAATAAGCAGAAGATAAACTCACACGCTCAGTTCGGCCTGATTCACCCGGCAACAAGCTGAGTCACAGCTACACCCACCTTACCCCCATACTGGTTGCCGTGGTGACCAGCACACGGCACTGGGCCCTGGTTTGCATGTGTTCTGCTGAATCACACCATTAGCAGTCACCAAACAATGGTGAGGTTTCCATGGATACCTCACCAGTCTGTGTGGGGTGATGTGGCCCTGGTAACGGAAGGAGCCGTAGACCAAAAGCAATGGAGATGATGTGTCTCTTGGTTACAAGAAACCAACGGGGCAAGAGAGAAAAAAGGTAAACTGGTAAAGTTAACCAGTTTGAGGTAAAATTAAAGTTTATATGTCATAAATCATCAGCACCACATCATGAGAGAAATTGGCAGCACATCTGTGAAACCTCTGTCTTCAAACACACTGGCGGTTTGACTCCCCGTCTGTTTGTATTTCTAAACAGAAGCTTTAGTAAAAACAAAATGGGTCCAATTTGTCCTGAACACAGCAGGTGCCATTCTTTCAAATGCAACCACATACAGATCAACCATTCTAAATTAGACCAAGTCCAGCCTAAACACAGCATAAACTAATTCAGCTGAATCTAAAACACAACTAGAGCTTTTTAAGCTGAGCTACAGTCTGATTACAATGTAGATCAGCCACTTCATTCTTCTAGGAAGAAAACTCTTTTTGAGTAAAACCTGAATCTGGATCAGTCTGAGCAGCTATGAGGAAAACTCAACAAAAAAAATCAGGTTTCATTTTGAATTAGTCAACAATCCATCCTGAACCTAATGGGGAAATGAATCTGTTCCAGTGTCTGACATTATGCAACTGTGTTTCAAGTTTTAATCTAGTGCCACCTGCTGGTTGAACTGTGTCATTACCATCATCTGGTCGCATTGCAAAATGGCAAGATTTTAAGCTAGTGAAGATTCTCAGTCATCCAGGTCAAAGTCATTCCAAGAAAGTAAAAAAAAAAAAAAAACAATCCACTAGACTTTGTTTCCTAGTTTGAAGACGTTTCTCTTCCCATCCAGGAAGTTTTTTCAATTCAAAATGTCAGAAATAGTGTTGAACTCCAGGTTTTATACAATAGCCCAACAAAACCTGTTTTTTGTTTAGAAAACATGCAAATAGAATGGGGGTCGTTTGGCCTCTTTTGTTAGCCTGCAATGCCCCATACCTGTCTATGCCTCTGAAAGGGGGGTCATTTGAGGAAATTGTTGGTCTGGCTGAATAGGTGAGGTCTTCTGTTCCCCTGGTTGAGGTTGTGATGATAGCGGGAAGGGATCAACTCTATCGCTGCATTTTATGCATGGCTTTCAAAAACCTACATACTATCGCATTGTAATGAGATAGTAACTCAAAATAATGAGATATCTCGATACAATATGCCCGAAAAAAGTGAAGCCACTGTGTCATATATATATATATATATATATATATATATATATATATATATATATATATATATATATATATATATATATATATAGTCTGTATTATCAGACATGTAAGATGTAATTTCCATAACAACATAATAAATATATTTATATTACATGTACAACATCAATTTATCACTTTTGGCAGACCTGTATTATTCTGCTCCATTAACATTAATTTTGTTGAGATTGATTTGTATAATATGTTATATTAGATGATTTATAGACTTCATTGACTTCATAATGACTCTGTAATGTGATGGGCCTATTTCTTTTTTATTCTTAGTTAAAATAATCTACTGATGCTATGAAACAGCAAGTCTGTCAAAGTAATGAATTTATCTTTATTTTAAAAGTCTTAAGCCCCCCTGAAAATGAGAAAATCATCGTTATTCGATGCTGTAGCTCACAGATTGTTTACATTGCGAGCAGTCTAACTAGGGAGTATCAATATGGCGGCCGGTGGCCTCACCTAAACCCCGTACTACCAACGAATAATCAGCGATCCAGTGAATAAATAGATCAGTGGGCGCTGGGCTTTAATGAAGGTGCCTTCCACAGCTGCGAGTGTGACTTTATTGTAAGTGAGAGC